AGCGCTTCATTAGCATACTCTCTGCCAGCAAAAGGATGCAGTGTAGATATAGTCTAGGAGATGGAATACACTTCTTCAGTGTGAGTCATGCTCCTTCCCCCTACATAGTGGCATAGTTCTGAGTGCCCAGGGAAACCGAGGCACACACACAGTCACAGAGTCCATCCAGAATGGCACAGAACAGTAGAATCACACACATCCTAACAAAGCAAAAAGAGTGACTAGTGACTTTCAGTGACTACAAGAGTGAATACAGTCCCCACTAAGTCACCTTTAGTGTGAGGAAAAGGGAGCACAGAGCGTCCCCAACATGGGAAATGCGGGGAGCTTGGGACACATAGTGCTCCTGGCAAGGGGAAGAAGGAAGAAATGGGGCACACAGAACTCTGGCATGGAAGTGAGTGGATGGCATGAAGAAAATAGGAATGGGTGTGCACACAGAGCTCCTGCCATGGGGAAATGAAAGGCAGTGGGAATGGGAGTACAGCTGGAGGGGGGCATTGAAATGAGGGAAAGGGGGTCACATAGAGCCCTGGCAGGAGGATATAAGTGGGAACAGGGGGGAATTGCAGTGGGGCACATAGAACAGCCAGCAAAGGGAGACTGGTGGGCCCTAGTGTGCGGGGATGGGGAAATACAGGCACAGACAGAGTCGCTTGCATAGGGGAGGAGGAAGGGTGATCATGGTATTGGAGCCCTGGCATGGGTGTGACTGGAGGGAGTTGCAAGGAGTGGAACCCAGGGAGTTTGGGGATGGGGTGGAATGGATAGATGCAAAGAAGATTGTGAGTCACCTTGTTTCCATCCTGCTTCCATGTAGGAATCATGCCCTAACACCACCAGTCTTTCAACCTCTCTCCTCTGAATCATATCAGCCTTGCAAGTTAAGAACAGGGACATGCCAGGCCCCTGAGTTCCTGGAACCTGAGTCCCTTATAAATGACACCAGCCCTTGACACTGGCTACTCACAGAAATTCCAGGTCTTTTGCCCCCAAAGTAGCAGTGTGCTTCAGTTTATTAGTTTTACCCTAACCCGCTGCTTCAGTAAACCACACAGCGTTTGTAAGGAAAAAGATGTATTTAAGAAATAATATTGATTCAATAAGAATCAAGAAAGCAAAATCAATGATTATAATACAAAAGAAACAATAAAATGGGAGCTGGGGCCTGTACTTGCCTTTCCCACCTAATAAAATAGATTTCCCCCAAAGTTCAGTCTGTTGCCAAGCTGGCTGGTTTCACAGGAACCAGGATCCAATTTTTCATGAAAACATTCTTGCTCCTCGAGACGTCTTCTCAGTGAGAGGATTCAGAGTGCCTCTCCCCACTCTGTGCTCTACCAGAACTGTCCTTTGGTTGCATTGACAGTCAGGATGATCCCTTGTCTGTTGTAATTTTTCTATTTTACCTCCAACAGGTTTTGGTCCATTTGTCTCTGGTGCCTTGACAGTCCTGGGGTGGAGTCAGGTAGACAACTGGGCATTGTGTTATCTCCAATTGGCCATCAGCAAGATGCCTGGTGACTAACTTCTACTCCAAGTCCCTACAACCTATTTTCAATTAAATTATATTATTCCTTAAATATTACCCATAAATGCATCATCCCACAAGTCATGAGCTTGCTGTAGATATCTTACATGAGGCTCTTTAAAGGTAAATATATTGAAGATGCATGTTAGGCATAGTGGGTTTATCAGTGAGAATCCTTTGAAGTGAGAATCCTTTGAAAAGGAAAAGGATCTTTTGCCCCAGAGCCTCTGTGTCATAGACTTAACTATTGGAGCCTTGGGGTGGCTATAGAGTCTCCTGAGGGTTGCCAGGTGTCCAGTATTGACCTGGACAGTCTGGTATTTTCTCCTCCTGTCCGGTAAGAAAATTCAGAAAATACTGGACACCTAAAATGTCTGTTATTTTCCCTGCCAGGAGGCAAAAATACCACACACCTGGCAACTCTACAAAACACTCAGCAATTGGAACCAGCCCCCGGAACCCCAATCCTGGACCCCATGTTTATCTGGTTCCGCAGGGAAGCTGCCTTCTGGCTCGATCAATAAAACAAGATGGCCGCCTACAAAAAGCCTAAAGACCTGAAGCTAGGGGAAGCAATGCCTTCCTTGGGTCTTAGTGCTCAACCTCTCCCCTCTTCCTATCCCTATTCTGACTTTGCACGCACTTAAAAGGGCCATGCTGTTTCCTTTTATTTTATTTTATTGCTTAATAACTCTCGGGGTCCTTTTTTTTTTAAGCTCACCAACTTTAGTCTCCCCCTTTTTCTTTCCCTCTCAACAGAATTTTTTCCCTGGTGGTTTTTTTTTTTTGGGGGGGGGGGGGTGTTTGGTATTTTTGGTTAAACCACCTGGCAACCCTATTCTCCTTCCCCCCAATCAAAAAAAAATTAGTAATTGACTAAAGAAAACACTGCATTTGGATCAGAAGCTTGTTTTATCCCTATTAAAAGTGGGCAGATTTAGGCACAATAAAGAACTACATTAAAGTGACATTCAGCTGCAGTTATTATGCTTTTATCTACTACATTAAATGCTATGTGTGCCCCAGAACATAAAGAGGGACAAGGCATGTTCTCTGTGTCATGCCAAGAGGCAAAGTGAATGTGTGGAATGTCAAAAAGCTACACCTTTCACTGGGGGAGTGATCTGGGATATTCACTATACACTCCTGCCACAAACACAATTAGTAGTGTAAAAATAATCCACTTGGGCCATTGTGGTGTACTGAGAATCTCAAAACACTTTTCTAGTTTTCCAACACAATGGCATATATAGTGGAGTCCGGATTTTCCGTCACTCGGTAATCCGACACTCCGCTTTATCCGACCCTGCAACTCCCAGGGACTTTGTCCCCAGGAGCTGCAGGGTCGAATACATCACGGGCCAGGAGAACAGCCCTGCTAGCTGCCCTGTCTCTCCAAGAGAGCAACGGGACAGCTGCTGCTGCTTCTGCTGGGGGCGCTTTGTCCCTGGCAGGAGAGGCAGCCGAAGCGCCCAAAAAG